GTAGAATGTGAACGTTTTAAAGCAATAACTGAGAAAATGACATGAAGGCTGTGTTGACCAGTTGATGGAAGTATTTCAGATTGCATGTGAAAACCCCACATTGTACCCCAGAAGTGCATTAATGTACATAGTTACCATTCAATTAAAAAAAAAAAAAAAAGAAAGAAAGAAAAGCGTTCAGAGGCTTCATTTAGTTTCTGCAAATGTTTCTTAGTCCTTCAGATTCAAATAATTGTCTCCTGAGGTATCAGTCTTGTCATCATCTTCATCATTTTTTCTTTTAATTTTTAAGAGGACTAATTTGGCAGATCTTCCTTTGGCAGTGTTTTTGGATATGATGGGAGGACTTTTACGGCCTTCCTTTCCAGGGTGTTATGAAATCCTACTTCTTTCGTGAGATTTAAAGTTCACTGCACAAAGGGAGCCCCATCACATTGACCTTGAAACCTTCCCCAGTCACGGGGACATTCACTGACATTGTGGCCAGGAGGGATATCCTTGTCAATGCCTTGGTGACTTTCCTGAAAGTGCTCTGACGTTGTAACGGCAGGGCCAGGATAGTCAGCATTCGGAGAGAAGGATCCAGGTTCGCTTGCTCCTGCCCTGGATGAGCAAAGACACAGATCTGGGGGATCTGAGTTTAGTATTTTAGTGCGTCCCTTTGCTCTCTTCATTTCAGGTCATTCAGTAATAATATAAACTTGTCAGACCCTGGAAACCAGACACAGAATGACAGGGGACGGATGGTGTTGTTAAGGAGTTGGAAAAGTTTAGAGTCATAATTATCTTCCCATTTATACTTTGTTAACTTCCCTCTTCAGAAATTGCAGGTTCTACTGTCTACCTGGGGTGAAGGTGAGCTGAGCCACCAGGGTCCCCAGCCCCAAAGGGCACGTATGCTCTGAACTGGCTCTTGGAGATGAGGAGATGACTCCTAAATTTATTTTTCTCATCATAAATACAGGCATGATGATGGCGACCTGTGGTCCTTCAACCAGCTGGCCTCAATTCTTTTTTGTTGTTCTTGTTATTATTATTTTATTTGTTATTGTTTCAGTTTAATTTGAGGCTACAAAAATGAGGTTACAATGTTTGCATTTGTTAGTAGAGTCCCTCTTATAATTGTGTCCCACCCCCCAGAGGTGTTCCATATCCCCTAACATTGTGCCCATTAAGTGGGAGCACTCCCTTCCATCTCCCTCAGCCCCTCTCCCTGCTCCCTCCTTCCTTGATTTCAGTTTTTCTCTTATGTAGGTGTGTATTAGGTCATTTACCGCAGCTGCTCAAATACTATCTGATACTATCTATCTCTTCCACTTACAGCCTGTGTGACTTTAGGCCAGTTGCCTAACTTTTCTGTGCCTCAGCTTCCTTATCTCTGAAACAGATAGAATGATAGTACCTGCTTCCTTAAGGTTGTAAGCATTCCATGGACTAACATTTATTTGCAAGGCACTTATAACAGCGTCTGGAACATTCAGGTTCCTTATGTGTGCTGGAAATTACTAACAAGGCTGTTTTTAAGCATCCGTCAAAACTTTGATAAACACTAAATTCTCTTTTAGCTTTAAAAGGACATTGTGTGCCTTGCATTAAACAACCATCACCAGGTTTGTTCTCAAAGCTGTATTGATTCCCATTTTGCCATGGTTTTGTTTAAAGAGCAACAACAAAAAAAATAATGACAGGCGTTTTGCAACACAGGGTGAAAATCCCTCTGTGGTGAAGTCCTCAGTCACATTACAGGGTGCTATGTGATGCTCCCCACCCCCCCCCCCAGTGCCACAGCCAGATAGATTCCCTCCATTCTGATCTATTCAATCACAGATCAAAGTCCTGGGGACGGAGAATCCACTTCACGCCTGCTCTCTGAGATATGGCGTGTATGAAGCCTCCTTCAGGTTTCCTGTGGATTACAAGTTTTTCATGAAAAACTGAGCAGAAAATTTCCCCTGAACACACATGCACTTGCAGCTGCTTATGCCTCAGGCTTCTCAGACTTCAGTGAATGGGAAAAAAACAAATAGTCTAAAGACCCACCTTTGAGGTATCCATTTTTAGTCAGAAGATGGCATTTTCAGTATTCAAAAAGGAGCTGTTATGGGCAGTATACAGGTTTTATTTTTTTAATTTAATTTATTTATTTATTTGAGACAGAATCTTACTCTATAAACCCTGGGTAGAGTGCCTTGGTGTCATAGCTCAGAGCAACCTCAAACTCC